TCCATCTTTCCTTTTTTTTTTTTTAAGTTTTCAATTTTTTGTTTAAATTTTGGTGAATTAACATATAATATCAGTTATTAGTTTCAGGAGTAGAAATGAGGGATTCATCACTTAGGGTTTGCCTCACTCTTTTTTTTCCCCTCCTCCTATGTTCATCTGTTCTGTTTCTTTTTCTTTTTCTTTTTTTTTTTTTTTTTTGAGAGAGAGAGCGTGCATGCAAGCCGGGGAGGGGGTGGACAGAAACCAGGAGAGAGAATCTTAAGCAGGCTCTGTGCTCAGCATCATGGTTTCCCGATGCCACCCATCTGCTCCTGGGCCCGCGTTCGGATCCTGGGACAGGAGAGGTGGCGCAGATCCCCCCGGCCGCCGGGTCTACGGCACAGCCTGTCACAAAGCACCTCATCACGTGGTCAAAGCAGCTTGGCTGGGACTCCATAAGGCCTCGCGGCCACCGGCATTTCACTCCTGGCTTCGGTCACTCACTTCTGCGTCTCACGTGGACTACAAGGCGAGGTGTGCCCAAGGCCCGAGGAACCGCTCTGTTTTTTAACCTCGGCACTTTATCCCGTCTCCATGCCAGAGAATTTCCGATGCCTGTGCACCCACGAGAAGGGCTTTGGCTTCAAGGGAAGTAGCTTCCACCGCATCATCCCGCAGTTCATGTGCCAGGGCGGCGATTTCACGAACCACAACGGCACTGGGGGCAAGTCCATCTACGGGAAGAAATTCGACGATGAGAACTTTATCCTCAAACACACGGGACCAGGTGGGACCCGATCGGGACATGGCGGCGCGTGGGGCCAGGCCGGTGGCTGTGTGGCTGGAGCAGCGGGCCGTGGCTCGGGCGGAGGGCTCGGGTCTGCAGGCAGACTGGTTGGTGACCCAGCACCTGCGTGCGGCCTGTCGGGGAAGCGGCTTCCATTCACACACTGCCCCTCCCTGTCCGCACCCCCTGGGGCCCAGCTTGTGAGCTCCTAGTCCCCCGGCCCTGCGGCCCTGTCTCTCTGTCAGACGTTCCTCTCTCTCTTAGTGGTTAGTCCCCCAGCAACTGGAGAAAAACAACTATAATGAATGGTCATCTTGAAACTTATGACCACACTTCTTCAGGGGCCCTTGGTTCTCGAGTCCCGTAGTTACTAATGCTCAGTCCCAGTCAGAGATGACGGTTCCTCCCTCCCTCCACTCCCGAAGCCTCCACGTCACACTCCAAGCATGGCCTCTCCTAGTCTCCTGACACGGGCCCGCTCCGCCTTCCCTCAGGGCGGACAAGCTGTGGCCTGAACCCCATCCCAGCTCCCCTACCAGGAGCCTGGCTTCATGGTTGTCCCCCCGCTTCCTGTGTAATCCACACCCCCTGCCCTGCTAGATCAGCCCATCCATGTAAACGTGTGTGGTATCCGTTTTAAAAAAGTCCTTTGACTTTTGTCCCTGTTAGCTGTCACCCATGCCTTTTAATCCCCTTTTAGGTAAAACTTCCTGAAGAAGTTGTGTATGCCCCCTGCCTTTTGCTCTGTCTGTCCCCCTTCAGCCACGCTTCCAGCCCCACCATTTACTGAAGCCACTTTCACCCGATGCCGACAGCATCCATCTTGCCAGTAGCCAGCTCGCGGCCCTCCTCCCGTGCCAGCTCCCGGCAGCGCTTACCCCTCCCCGTTTACTGTACAGACGTCCCTCCGACTGCCGGGAGCCGGGGGAGAAGGGGCTCATGTGCTCCTTCTCTCCCCCAGGCCTGCTCTCCATGGCCAACTCCGGCCCGAACACCAACGGCTCCCAGTTCTTCCTGACGTGTGACAAGACGGATTGGCTGGATGGCAAGCACGTGGTGTTCGGGGAGGTCACAGACGGCCTGGACGTCTTGCAGCAGATTGAGGTGTGTGGCTTCCCCGGGCCCGGGGTGCGTGGCCCTGCAGGAGAGCTGGAGACAGGGGCCACGGCTGCTCCCAAGGAGGGCTGCCTCTGCTCAGGGAGGGGTGGGCCGATGGGCAGGGTATCCAAGAGCCGCTCCTTACTCTCCACCCTCCCTCATTTCTCCCCCTCTTCTGTCCCCACAAAGGCCCAGGGCAGCAAGGATGGGAAGCCAAAGCAGAAGGTGATCATCGCCGACTGTGGGGAGTACGTGTGAGTCCGCGCAGTCTCGGCACTGACCCTGCGTGTCCAGGAGCCGTCAGCCTGAGAGCCAGCACCTGCGGTGTCCCTCCCATTGGTGGCAACCAGGGGTTTGTGTCGTGGCCCTTCTTGGGGTCAGCTTGGAGCAGCTCTTCTCAAGCCTGGGCTCCCTCTGGCTCTTTCCCAGGTGTGGCCGTGGGCCCGGGAGCCGGCACAGGGGCCGCCTTCCCAGCCGTGGACAGGCTGTGCGTGGCCTTCTCCGGGCCTTTGCTGCCACGGCTTCTCCTAGGCCCGCCAGTGTGGCTCCTGGACGTTTCTTGTGGTAAAATAAACCCGAGTTCTTGTACTGCCGCGTCCAGCCAGTTCCTAGGAATGGTCAAAGTGCGTCTACGGCTAAGTGTCCTGCTGAATTGGGCTGGCAAAGGGATGGGGCATGGCTTTTCTTTCCTCCCTTGGGTGGTTCCCTGAGATGCCAAGTAATATATCTTCAAGCCAGGTGCCCTTGTCAGATCACTGTCAGGATGGTGGAAATCAAAGATGGTGGAGAAGTCCCTGTCTTCTGCTGCCTCTGCCCCTAAACTCACGCTGGCCCGCCTTGTAGGCAGCAAGTGTAGTTCTCACTCTCCACGATTCATTTGTTTATTTCTTCACATTTACTCTATAGAATTTTTTTAAGTAAGCTCTGTGCCCAGTATGGGGCTTGAACTCGACCTGGTGGTCGAGAGTCCCATGCTCTACTGACTGAGCCAGCCCGGTGCCCCGGTTGTACAGAATTTTTCACGCGATGCTTTATAACTCGTAACGCCTTCTCTGTGCCACGCACTGTGCTTACTTGTCTGGAGACAGGATGTCACCCAACTACATGGGTCTAATCCAGCCTGCTGCCTTTTTTGTGCATAAAGTGATTGGAACACAGCCACATGTGTGTTTGCATATTCTCTACGGCTGCTTCCCTATCACAGTGACAGAGCTGAGTGGTTGGTGACAGATACTGTATGACCCCCATGTGAGAGCTCTCTAGAGAATCAGAGCCAATAGGATGTGTGTAGATATGTGCATAGAGAGAGACGTTTTAAGGACTTGGCTCCGTGATTGTGGGGCTTGCAAGTCAGAGCTCTGTAGGGGAGGCACGCGGGCTCAGACCCAGGGAAGAGTTGGTGTTGCAATTCAAGTGTGAAGGCTCTCTAGAGGTGGAAGTCCTCCTCTCTCCAGCAGTCTCAGTCTTTTCTCTCTCAGAGGCCTTTGATTGGATGAGGCCCATCTACCTTTTGGAGGGTAATCTGCTTTAAAGCCTGTGGCTTTAAATATTAGTCACATCTGAAAAGTACCTTCACAGCAGCATCTGGACTGGTGTTTGACCAGACACTGGCGTGGTGGCCTAGCCAGGTTGATACATAAAAGTAACCAACACACCCTCAAAGCCTAAAATGTTTATGACATGAACCTTTGCAGAAAGAGTTTGCTGATGGCTTAAGCAAATGGGCTCAGCCCATGCTGAGCTCACAGTCTGGTCCTCCTAATGCAGCCACTGCTCGGAGCTCAAGTCAGGCTGGCTTCTCTCTCCATGCTCTTTCGGTATATTGCTCAGTGAGGTGGCTTTCAAGCATCCCTCACCTGCTGAAGGCCCGAGCAGGGACTGAGTCCTGTGGTCACTAGGCACCTCTCTGGTTGGGTTGCTGGGACCATTCAGCATCCACGGGGCTGGGCTTATTCATCTTGAGTTGAGATCTGGATGAGCCTGGTGCCTCCCACTCCTCGTGACCCCAGGATAGCTCCTGTGGGAGACGATGGCCTGCTAGCCCTTCCTCTGGCTTCCGTGTGTCCAGTGAACTCCCAGCCCTTGGCTGAGTTCCTGCTTGGGGTTTCTGTCTCCTTGTGGCTAAGATGGACCACATGGTTACCCTTGACCCTACAGAGCTCCCAAAGGAGACCTTCCCTCAAAGCAGAGGCCCCCACTCTGAGGGCAAACTATGGCATCACAGGCCAGTCACCAGGAACGGATGTGTATGAAGGGCGTGGCATAGCCACCTCCCAAGAGGGGACGGACTCCGGTGATGACCTTGTTGCTTTCTCTTGTTCCCTGGTAGCACCCACGGAGTGCCAGTGCCCCTCCCAGTGCTGGTGTTATCCTGTATCCAGGGAAGAACTATACACAGAGGTTAACCAAGGCCTGGGTGACATGGCTGCAAAGGGCCAGAACATGGCAGCTGGGTTAGGAAGCTCGGCCTGCCTCCTCCTAGTTAAGTGGGGTCCTGGGAGGCTTACTGGGCTGTAGCCTCAGCCTGTGGCAGGGGCCCAAGGCCCTTGGGGGAGACACAGTCATGGCCCCTGTAATTGGTCTGGAGAGACCCAAGGAAACAGGGCTCTTCCTTGCCAGACAGGAGGGTCCCCAGAGCCTGGGGGGCAGTGGCCTGGCTACCCGATTCAGCTGCTTACAGCATACCACCAACCCCGTTACTTGGGAAGGCTCTGGTCCATCGGAAGTGTACCCAAGGGCGCCGTGCGGCCTTCCTGGGTCTGCCTGGCTCCCGTCTGAGGTGGCCTCCTGGTCTGCGTGTGCACTGCTTCAGCCTCAGGACCTCAAACAGGGCTGGGTTTTGCCAGTGCGCTGACCCCGTCAGGTTGTGACCCCAGAGTTGGTCTGCGGCAGCTCGAGTTCCCACCCTCGGGTGCGGCTGGCTGTGATGTCACAGTCCCAGAAACCTGAAGCAACACTCCAGGAAGGGATTTGGGACCTACTTTTTAGTTGTGAACACAGTCCTGTAGGCTGCGGGTGTTAAAAACCTAGAAAGCCATGTTTTCAAAAAACTTTATTAACAGGAAAATTTTTACTACATGATGAAGTGGGAAAAGCATCTTTCAAAGCAATTTATGATATAGTATGATCCCAATTTTGTAAAAATACGTATCTATACCATGTAAACATCTATATATGTGTGTCCTAAGGAAAAAGCCTAGAAATAAATTCACCAAAATATTGAGTCCTATAACTGTGACAATTTCTGATTTTTTTTCCAGTTTGTCCTCCAAAACTGCATTATTTTTGTAATAAATGAAAAACAAACCTATTTTTTAAAAGGTGGGTTGAGTGCTTTGTACCTTCAGCAGGCCGGCGGGATCCCCGGGCCCGTGGGAACACGGGAACGCGGGTCACGGCCCTGGCCTTAACCAGGCACTTTCCTCAGGCCTTGAAAGCAAGTGGGAAACACAGGGTCCTCCCTCCAGAGTCTGCAGGATGTAGATTTTCAGGAGAAAGTATAGCTCTGAAATTAGTACAGCATCACCTGTGGAACACATTCCGGGCAAGCACAGAAAGGGCTCAGCCGATTAGCAAATCCTCTTGCAATAATGCCAGCAGGTGCCAGCTGCTAAGTGTCTTTACAGCAGACATCGTCCTAAATGTGTATGTAGGGATCTGGTCTTTACAATAGCTTGGAAGGAAAGAACCAATATCCTGCCCTACTTCAGAAAAAGAGCGAAGAGTCCAATCCATTTGGCTCCAAAATTTTGTACTCTTGCTATGCTGCCTCTGTTCCTTCAGGAATTTTCCAGGACAGGTCATGTGCCCACCTTAGAAAACAGTGAACACGGATGTCGCGATGCCTCAACCCCAAGGCCAGCACAGCGCTGCCAGAACCGAGACGGCCGTGCACACGTCCTCGGCCTTTCCCACATGCACTCCCTGCCGGCGACATTGATTCCTTGTGCGGTGGGCCTGACGGCCCGCCCGTGTGTATCCTTCGGGTCCCGTGCAGCCAGATAAACAAGCCATGCCCTGAGCAACAGAAAGGGAGAGAGTGGCATCTGTGCTGCGTGACTGCCAGCCTGGGCCGCCCCTGCAGCTGCTGTGCTGGGCTCCGCACACGGGTGACTGGAAATCGGACCCATGCAACAAATCATGCAATAAGCAGGGCATAAAATGCAGGAGCTTTGTGTCCGTTCACAATGGTTTCACTGCTCAGGGCTTTTTCTATTTGATCCCATTTGCCTGGATGGCAAAGGTTGCTGGAAGTCTGACCCGGGAAGGCCGGCAGAGGCTTGCTGTTTTTCAGGTGTTGTGCACAAAAAAGGAGGGTTACAACCTCCAGTCATCCCTGCTGTGCCCAGCGTGATAGGTGACGTATATCCCTGTCTATAAATCTTTGGGTGATTTGACAGACATGCCTGGTGTATCCCTAATTGTGTTGGGCTGTTGGCTGGGCATGAAAGATACATGGTGAAGTAAAGGGTGGCCAAAATAATTGGCTAATTTTAAATGTACATTTGCCTACATGATCATCCTTGATGTTGGGAAGATGGAAGTGTTAGATAAGGACTAGAATGGCAAACAGGTTCCGTACTTTATACCAGCTCTCATCTGTGACCACCACCTGAGTGCCCAGTTCGAGGTCACGAGGCAGCATCTGGGCTCAGTGTGAGAAAGGGTTGGCGGACAGATTTCTGGCAGAGGGCCATGTGGAGACCAGGAAGCCGAATGCCGTCATGTACAGATGGGAAAATGAGACCCTGAGGAGGAAACCATCTACTAGTCAGCCCTCCTGACATCTAGGCCAGAGTTTAGGTCCCTAACTGATGGGGAACTTTCCACCTTGCAGTCTGGGCCTGCCGCTGTACACGGGAGGATCTTTTCCTCTGTACTTGCTCCACAGTCCCTTCCAGGTCCCCGTGGAGGGGCTGCTGTCCTGCAGCAGGGCCCCGGCATCCACACCTGCCGCCAGGCCTGCCGGCCCGGGGCCCCTTGTCAGGGTGTAGAGTGACGGCGGGGATGCGCGTACTTGGGCACAGGGGTGGTTCCGCCCCAGCTGGGCTGTGCCTGTGGGTTGGGCGGGCCCAGAATCCACTTTTAATGACCCAGTATTTCAGAGCTCGGGCAGCTGGACTCTGTCTGCGCCAGCAGGTAAATTACAGGCTTAGCAAGTCAGAAATCAAATAAACACTCCAACTGCCTGTGGTGGCGGCCGCTCCGAGAACAGTGGTTTCCGGGAACCTGCACCCCGGGTTGGCCTAATTGCTGCCTCTGTCACTCCCCTGGGACAGGGACCTTTTCTTTGGTTCACAGGCCTAGAGCGACAGGCGGCGCTCCTGGGCACCCAGGGTGATGCAGACAGATTATGGCGACCAGCCTGTTTTTGACAACTGAACATAAGCAGGTGCTGAGAAGCCCCTGCCCTTGCCCCATACCCAGCCAGGGGCTGCCCAGTGTCCCAGCTGCCCTGCAGTGGGTGAAACAGATTGCTCCTTATGGCAAATGGTGGCAAACAGTGCAGTTCTAATACCGATCATTTTGAAATTCTACCCAGATTTGGAAGAAAAAAATATTAAGGTTGATTATCGATGTTTGCCATGCCAAAGGGAAAGAGTAATCATGTCATCTGTACTGGGCATTGTCATCCTGGGCCACCCAATTTCTCCACCGTGCTAGGCTCAATAAAAAGAGAACTTTTCCATGGAGCTAAGCTCAACATGGTGACAGAATCATAAGGGAATGAAACCTTCCCAGGTTTTTGTTTCTACAAAGGCCGTATGTCCCCGGACAGCAGAGGCAGATCAACACAGGAAGATTAGAGGAGACAAATGCCATTGGTCTGAGCCCTATGTCACAGGGTTCATTTAGCTCTTTCTTGAGTTGACCCTTGTTCCTGCCTGTGGCCAGCAGTTTGATAACTGAGATCCACAACAACACAGCAATCAGGGCAGGTCCATATCCTAATAAAAGTGCCCAGAAATGCCTGGGAGGGGCAGGCACTGGAGATGGACTAGACTCTGTCTACACACAGCCAAGCCCTGTAATGGATAGTAAAGCGGCTGAGGTAGCCATTTTGGGTTCCAGGTGCCCCTCAGCCCACCCCGTATCACCACAAGCCTGGGCCAGCAATGGACACTGATAGGTCCTCAGACAGGACTTTCATGTCACCCCCAAAACGCTGGTCAGCACGTGCTTCTGGGGGAGGAGGCTGGGAGGGAACCTGCTCGGTGACTCAGACCATCGGGCCAGAGGCAAGAGATTTTCACAGACCTCAGGCAGGGAAGGGGGCAGAGGGGCCTGGAGAAGATCCAGCCCTGACAGGAAGAAAAGAGAGGCATAGTTATGTTGATCTCTGGCGGCCCACCCGCCCCGGGTTCCGGGCTGGGTCTGAGGGTTTCCTGTGTCTGGAAAAGGGCCGGACCCAGGCGGGAGGCTCTGCAGCGGCGGGGCCGGACCTCAGTGGCAGCCACAGGCCCTGACTACCATGTTGCGGTGCTTGCGCAGGATGACATTGTTGCTGCTGTCGTAGTAGAGCACGGAGGTGGCGCTCAGCTTGGTGGGGGCACAGCACGCCTTGGGGACCGCGTCCGGCTTCATCAGGTGCACCTGACCAGGGAAGGGACAGCAGGCAGGCGTGAGCACCACGGCCTTCTCCCACGGCCCCCCAGCTCCCGCCACCCCGACCCCGGAGTCTCCAGCTGCTCACCCTCCCCCGCTCCATCCTCCACCTGCAGCCCAGGCTGGTGCTAATGTGTAGATGGGACCCCTCCCCCCCCACCCCACTGCCCTCAGGGTCCAGCCTCAGCACCAGCCAGCTCCATCCACACTCACTCCCCTCAGAGGTGGCGACCCCGCTGGTCTCCAGCACATGGCGCGCCCCGTGCCCAGCCCCTCTGCCGCACCACCCCTCTGGGTCCCCTCCGCTCCTCCCTATGTGCTCCTGTAATGTTCCCGATCCTATCTGGTCCCCATTAGCTGTTGGTAATCTGTCTCCCCTCCCGGCTGTGAGCCCGTGAAGGATCACAGAACTGGAAAAACCAAGGGCCCCGGGTCCATCCCCGTGTTCAATGCTGTCACTCCTCAAAGCACTCGCCACCCCTGATAACAACTTCTAAGGCAGCTACCGTTCTGGGCCGACCGAGAGGGAGGGCACAGAGGCCCTGCTCTCAGGTGCGGTGGGACTCGGACAGGGGGCACTGACGTGCTACCCTCCCAGCAGCCTTTCTGCCAGGAAGAGCCTGCCTGAGGGAACGGCCCGTTTTCAGCCTCCTGAAAATATTTCTGCCGAGCCCTGGCAGGGCGAGCTGCAGTTTACAGGAACCCCGGGGTCAGGGCCCCCCCGCTGCCAGGCCCCAAGGCGGCCCGAGGCTGTGGGGAGGCAGGAGAGAAGAGGACGCCTGCTCCATCCATGTGTCGTGGCCGCCACCAGGGCTCCCCGCCCTCTCAGAGGCTGCCGAGCAGGACCCGGATGGAGCTGTCTGGTGGGGAACCTGTCCGGCAGCCTGGCCCCCGCGCCCCAGTGCCCAGTTCTGAGCCAGCCTGCCGTGAGAATACTGGCCAGCTCGGGGCCCAGCAGCCTCTCAGAGGCCCAGGGGGAGGCTGAGGCCTCTGTGGGGATGTACAGCCAGACCGGGATCTGGGTGCCGCTGCCCCTAACTTCCCCACCTCCACATGTGGCTTGGCTTGGCCTTCATGTGCCCACGTGAAAAACTAGGCGACACCACCTGCCTGCACCAGCCATGGGCTCTGCATGACTGGGAACAGGAGAGGGTCTTTCCCAAGTTGGGGTGCTGGAGAGAACTGGGGCACCTCAGGGGGACAGCCTTCCTGAGACCCGCCCTGCTAGACCAGAGCTTTGTCAGATGAGTGACGGAAAGGTCTTTTATCCCATCTGGCACAAGCAGGATGACTTGAGGAGGCTAATGTGACATTCCATCTAGCTCGGTTTTGAGCCGCTGGGAAACCAAATCTGAGGATCTGTCACTTACTGGCTATGCATCTTTGAGTACAAATCATGCATCTGTGGGCCTCATTTTCTCCTCTGCCAAATGCGGAGAATCGTACTTGTGTTATTTCCAACACAAACGTATCTAGGACACGTGCCTTGTGACAGCCCTGTCAGGATGGGGCACAGAAATGTCCCAGAGAATGTCCCTGCTCTCACAGACCCCGTGTGGGAGGGAACAGGGGGTGGGGAGGTTCCAGTAGCCAGCCAGGACCCACCGGAGCACCACAACAAAGCAGGCCTTCAGCACTGGGAGCATGAGCACGGGGACCACCTCTGGCAGGGAAGGGCCATAGACACGAGGCGTGCAGGGGGAGCGGGTGGGGGGTCTGGGCCCAGGGCAGGGGAGGAAGCCCTACAGGTGGAGGGAACAGCAAGTGCAAAGGCAAGAAGGTGGGAAACCGAGCCTGAGCAGGGAGACGAGAATACTAGAACACGTGGCGGCGCTGGCGAGGTCAGCAGGGTGGCCCACAAGGGGCCCCTCGTCCCAAACCAAGGGCTCAACCTTCCTCCCGGGAATGACAGCGAGACTATGCTTCTCAACTAGGTTGTCCTTTAGTGGGGGGCCCCCCGGCTGCTGTATGGAGAAGGGTAAGAGGATGAGCCTGGACTCAGGACACCCCAAGTCCTCCATCACTGCCACGGCCTCCCCACGGAGGAGGCCAGTCCTCTCCACCTCTTCCGCATCTGCTGTCTCCCCAGAGAGGCTCACCTGTCCTCAGGACTAGAAGGCTGGCCCTGAGCCACTCTCTGCATCCAGAGATTCGGCCGGGCCCCTCCCCTGACCTCAGACCTGCACGTCCCGCTTTCCACCCAGGCCCATCCCTGACTTCACCTTGCTGGCCCTCCATGCCTCCCTGCAGCCCAAGCCCACCCAGCTCTCCTCACTTGGGAGCCTGTACACCCTCATGGGCCAGGAGAACATGTGCCTCATCACTCCTGAGCTGCTCCCAGGAAAGCAGTCCCTGAGGGCAGCAGGCTCATGCGATGTGAGAAAAGCAACGTGACATCAGGGTCCAAGCCGCTGTTGGCGGATATGTGTACTCTCACTTGGGGGCATCACTTAACCTCTTACTAGATTAACACAGGGACAGGGATACCAGGAAGTAGGCTTCTAGGTAAACGTTCTAGAAAGAAATCTCAATCCTGTTATCAACAAACTTTTAAAACACTTAGCAATAATCAGCAGCAACAATGCTCCTCATGGAAACTATTATTTGACTTTTAAAGGTCCCCCACATATAGCATCGGAAGCATTTACTTTCTGCAGGAAAACACAAAGAACCAGGAAAAAGATGACAGGGAGGTGTAGAGAAGGGGGGCCAAAGCCCAGCCCCTCACCCGGGTCACACTGTTAACGCTCTCTGCATACACTGTGCAGCAGGTGGCCGAGTGCATGTGCCCGTCACTCACTCACCCACAGGCATCTGTCTGACAGGAGGCCGAGGCCAGTGGACGCGGTGACATGTGTTCAGAGCACATGGGAACCCAGGTGGGATGCACGTGTTATGTGCAACGTCTATTCACGGAAAAATAAAACCCTCAACAAAGTAGGTTTAGAGGGAACCTACCTCAACATAACAACAGCCATATATGAAAAACCCACAGCTAACGTCATAATGCTGAAGACCAGAGCTTCCCCCTGAGGTCAGGAACAAGACAAAGATGCCCACTCTCACCACTTTTATTCCACAACACAGGAAATCCTAGCTACAGCAGTCAGACAAGAAAAACAAATAAAAGGCATCCAAATCGGTAAGGAAGAAGTAGAACTTTCACTTTTTGGAGGTGATGTGACACTGTATATAGAAGTGTCACAACCTTAAAGACTCCACCAAAAACTGCTAGAATTGATAAATATAGTCATGTCACAGACTATAAAATCAATGTACAGAAATCTGTTCATTTGTATGCACTAATAATGAAGCAGTAGAAAGAGAAATTTAAGAAAGCAACCACATTTACAATTGTACCAAAAAGAATAAGACATCTAAGAATGAACCTTTTTTTAAATTTTTTTTTTCTGAGAGAGAGAGAGAGAGAGAGAGACAGCATGAGCAGGGGAGGGTCAGAGAGAGGGAGATATAGAATCCGAAACAGGCTCCGGGCTCTGAGCTGGAAGTCAGCACAGAGCCCGACACGGGGCTTGAACCCACGAACTGTGAGGTCATGACCTGAGCCAAAGTCGATGCTTAACTGACTAAGCCACCCAGGTGCCCCAACATCTAAGAATAAACTTAACCAAAGAAGGCAGAGACCGGTACTCCAAAAACTACAAAACAATGATGAAGGAAATCGAAGATAACAGACATGGAAAACTACTCAATGCTCACTGATTGGGAAAACCAATATAGGTAGAATGTCCACACTACCCAAAGCAATCTACAGATTTAATGCAATCCCTATCAAAAAGGCAAGAGCATTCTTCAGCTAGGACAATCCTAAAATTTGAATAGAGCCACAAATACCCCTAATAGCCAAAGCAGTCGTGAACAAGAAAAACAAAACTGGAAGTGCCACAATCCCAGATTTTAAATTCTACCACAGAGCTGTAATGAAACACTTAGCTATAGGCAACAGCCGTGTTCCTCATGGCAACTATTTTTCAGCATATGAAGTTACCCCAGACTCAGCACTGGTAGCCATACCTTCTGCGGAAGACGCGAAGAACTAAGGGAGCAGGAAAAAGACGACGGGGAGGTGTAGAGAAGGGGGGCCAAAGCCCAGCCCCTCACCCGGGCCACACTGTAACGCTCTCTGCGTACACCGTGCGGCAGGTGGCCGAGTGCACGTGCCCGTCACTCACTCACCCACAGGCATCTGTCCGACAGGAGGCCGAGGCCAGTGGACGCGGTGACATGTGTTCAGAGCACACGGGAACCCGGGTGGGATGCACGTGTTATGTGCGTGCTGTGTGTCTGACCAGAAGCAGGCATGTCCTGTAGACCTGGGCGCCCACATATGTACGTGAATGCCTTACACGTGCGTGTGCAGGGCACGGATCTGGGTGTGCACAAGCGGTCAGGGCAAGTCGGGTGTACGCGGGTGCAGATGCACAGGGGTCTACACAGGAGCACGGCCACACAGGCCCCAGTTCCTGTGCAGACACGGGAAGGGAACTGCGTGTGCCTGCAGGGAAGGGTGGAGAGAGCTCCCTGAGACCCGGGCAGGCGCTGCCGGCCACGTGCTGCACGAGCCCCTCCCCGTGGGTGGGGACAGGACGGACGCGGCACTGACCAGGGACTGCAGGATGGCGTGGTTGGTGGCGTTCATGCACGAGTCCAGCGGGAAGGAGCACTCCCCCTCACAGTAATAGGCTGAGTAGCCTTGGGGCGCAATGACCCAATCCTGGGGGGGGAATAGGAGAAGGTGAGCGCCGTCCAGATGCCCCCGCCTCCCGCCGAGGCCCTGAATCCGGCACGCGGCCCGAGACGACTCAGGGCTGCCCTTCCCCTCCCGCAGCCCCAGCGCCACCAGCCGACCCTAGGGTCCCCGCAGGCAGGCTCCCCCAAGGGGCCCGTCGTCCACCGGGAGAGCATCGGCAGGCAGGGCTGGGCGCGGCTCTGTCCCCTCACGTACACTGGGCATCGTCACCCCACCTGCCCCGCCGCCTGCATCTCCTAGAGCTGCGGCTCTGACGTGTTATGGCCGAGGACTCAGACCAGCCCCAGTTCCGTGGTTTTCCCCCAAAAGCACCTTCTCACTATAAAAGAAAGACCTTCTCCCTTCAGAGAATACAGAAGAACCTAATGCAGGAGAAACTTAAAATCACCCATAACTCTAGCTGCTCCCGCACATACACCTATGATCTCCGGGCGGGGCCCGTCACGTGAGGAGGAGTCAGAAATTACCAGCCAGCCGAGGTCCTGGAAGCTGACGTAGAGCTCGTGCCGCCGGCACACCTGCCGGCCGTCGGCGCCGTGCACGTCATCTGCAGGGACAGAAGCGAGGCTGTTCTGGGCTCCTGCTCCGGGCAGCTTCCGCAGGGAGCTCCCAGGGCGGGGGACACCCTACCCGGCACTTGGCGAATAAATGAATGAAGTAAAACGGACGCATTTGGTCTCATTAAGCCCAGCCTGCAGCTCTGCGGCTGCCACGGCCCAGCTCGAGAAACTTCCATGGCTCCAGGTGGCTCAGGTATAGAGTAACCCTGCGCTCAGCCCAGCCTCCCCTGACTCCCCACCTGTGCCCCCCAGTGCTTCAGTAAACAGCCCAGGGGACCCTGGGCCATCAGGTGGCTCCTCCTTTTCTGCACTGACCTCACCCCGCCTCTCCTGCCACCCCGCTCCACGGGACCGAGTGGCTCACAGAGGCCACAGGGCAGACTCCCCGTGGAGGAAAGGGGGGCAGCAGGGCAGGGCCGGCCCGCTCCTGATCCTGAGGGGCTCAGTCTGGTGGGGAGCCTTCCCATAAACAATCGTGCATCCTGCAGGGTCCCCAGGGGCTGTGCTGCCTGGAGGAAGGGGCACCTGATTCTGAGGGAGACTTCTGGAAAAAGCCCTGGGGAGCCAGGGGAGGGCCCAGAAAGCACTTCCGGGCGTCAGGGACGGACAGGGCAGAGGCTTGGGGGCTGCAGGCGGATGGCAGAGGCCGGTCCACAGGGCAGTGCCAGGGTGGGGGGTGACCCCCCGGCCTGAGCCTACTGAGGGCCCTGAGGGTTCTGTCCCCTCCAAGGTGGCTCCCGGCCCACCCCGGGCCTCACCAAAGATCCCCGGGAGTTTGTTCGCGTGTGGCAGCTCGTTGGTTTTCTTGGGCGGCCTCCTCTTCAGGGGCCTCGCTGCCCGAGGGGCTCGGCCGGGACCGGGGCTCGCCCTGAAAAAAGTGACCAGGAAAGGCTGCTTGGAGCGCGGCGCCCGTCGCCCCAGCAGGCCGGCCAGGCCAGGATCCACGCTGCGCCCTGAGACGGAGAGAGGAGAGAGGGCGGTCACTCGAGGGCAGGGGCCGTGCACGCGGGGCTGCGGGGACCCTCCTGCCGGGGCCTGCAGGGGCCCGGGGGCGCGGAGGCAGAGGGCCTCAGTTTCCTCGTCCAGAGACCGGAGTCCCAGGTCGAGGAAGACGGGGGGTGGGGCCTCGAGAACACAGGGTCATTGCTCGTGATAACGGTGAACACTGCCGTCTGGGAAGCACTTTACAGGTTTGGAGTTAGTTCACACGCGCGACCCCATGCGTCTCCAGTCCCCCTGGACCTCAGGCTGCACTGAGAGACTTCAGAGCCACCTGCTGGGGGCTCGCAGAAGCGCGGTTCCCACCTCCGTGTGACGCTCCGCGTTCTCCGTCCACCCCACACGCTCTGGGGCTGGGGATGGACTTCAGACCTGACAGATCGGAGCAGCCGCCAGGACGCAGCTGGGGCTCGCTCTGGCCAGCACGGCCACGAGCAGGGCACTAACTGTCCCCCGATGTCCACAAATGAGACCCCGGGCTCAGCCGGGCAGAGACATCTGGCCAAAGTCCTGGAGCGGGGGTTCGGTCCGGCCCCAAGTTCTTATCCATTTAAGGTCCTACTCCCGGGTTTGTGGGTTAAAAAAGGGAGAAAAGGCTGTGGGCGGGGACATGATGGGGACCTCTGGCTAGGAAGAGGGACACCCAGGCAAATGGGATTTGACCCCACAGCTGCTTAGAGACGAGGATGCCCTGAGAAACACACTCATGATCCCTGAAACTGTCGACTCCACCAATAAAACCAACTTCCTGTACCTCTTTGTATTTCCAAATGACCTCTTGATTTCTTAATTGTCAAAGTAGTACAAATACAATTTGTAGTACACAATAGCAACTGTAAGGTAACCTTTGGGGAAAAATATCACTCAGAAACCTCTGCCTGACCCCAACACATCATTTTCATTTTTCTGGAATATATTCAGGTCAATTAAAGTTTTACACAATGGTGACCTTTACAAGGAAGTCTGTATGTTTTCCAACTTTTTCACATAAACACGTTCACTGATGTTAAAAGGTCTCTACTATGAATGTATAAATTTCTTTGAGAAAATACGCCATAATACTTAGAGATTAGCTTAACTTTAGACATTTAGGTTACTTTCTGGTTTTCATTAAAAGTTGAGAAAGTGATAGACCTCTTCATTTTCATTTCCCGTAATTTTCTTTTCTTTCATTTTAATGTTTTTATTTATTTTTAAGAGAAAGAGCGTGAGTGGGGGAGGGGCAGAGAGAGAGGGGACGGAGGATCTGCAGCAGGCTCTGCACTTGACAGCAGCGAGCCAGTTGTGGGCCTTGAAATTATAAACTGAAACCGTGAGATCATGACCTGAGCTGAAGTCGGATGCTCAACTAACTGAACCACCCAGGCGCCCTTACAGTTCTTAAAACACGTTGCCAACTGTTCTACTTCCATGTGTGTTACCTCAGTGTTGCCCCACTGACACACACACACACAGGCACACATATGTATGTATATATGACAACACACAAGCATCTATTTTACAGGATACAGACATACACATACACAGAGACATATGTCTGTTCCATTAGCAGGTGTCCTGATTCTCTGTGAAACCTCGCACAGGACACGGCCTGCCCCGCCCATAGTCCTGCTCAGCTGGCAAGGGTCAGCCCTTAAACTGCTGGGCTCTAGACCGGGGGCCCTGGGCCAAGTTGCTTGACCTAATCAATCCAGAGACTAAACTTTGATCTATGACATCACCTGCCACAACCAAATGCACCGGACATGTTAGAGGCACCACTCAGGAACGATCCTACTGGGACAGGAGGGTGTCAGCTGCAGGGGCTGACACTGGAAGAGCCTTGGGTACACAGGGGTGGTTACTCCTTCCTCATTATTTCCCCCCACATTTCGTAGCTCATTCACCAGAGAAGGCCCCTCAGTGAAAACCTTCCTGTGGGATCATCTGAGGCGCAGGAATTTCATGTAACCATCACGGTGAGGAGGGCGTCTGAGTGCCCGACGATGGAACCAGTTCTATCTCAATACTCACAGAACATACAAAACACCTATTTCTTCTTTTGTGTTTAATTAAAGTCATACTCCTCTTGAGAGAACAGTCTGGTGGCGGTAGCCAAGTCTGAAAAGCTGGGAGAATCGGTCGGACGAACGGACAGATGTGATGACACCCTCCCCGGGTGAGATCGCAGCAGGTGAAAATGAAACCCACCTTCTATGACCAGGGCTTCCTTCCTCGGGTCAGGCTGCCACCTGCTGCATGGGTCTGAGGTTCGGTGACACAGCAAAGGGGCTGCCTGTGCTCTTTCTGACGTCGTCCATGGTCAACCCGTCCCAGAGCTCGATGAGCATCAGACCTTTCTTCTTGTGCACATCGAACACGGCCCTGTAGGTGATGATGCGATCCACACAGCGCATCCCGGTCAGCGGCATGGTGCACTTCTCCAAGATTCTGGGTTCGTTGGTCTTGGTGCAATGTTCCATGGTGACCACCACTCTGGTCTTGGGACCGGACACCAAATCCATGGCACCCCCCCATGCCTTTCACCTTCTTCCCGGGTATCATCCAGTTGGCCAGGTCACCGTATCTGGAGACCTGCATGGCCCCCAGCATGGTGAGGTGCAGGTGCCCCCCTCGAATCATGGCAAACGAGTCATCGCTGGAGAAAAAACAACACCCAGGGAAAATGGTGACAGGCTGCATTCCTGCATTCATGAGATGCCCATCTGCCTCATCTTTTGATGGAAACGGACCCAAGCCCAGGATCTCATTTTCACTGTGAAGATGAATGGTTATGTCTGGGCTGATGTAGTTGCTGGCCAGAAGCGGGATGCCTATGCCCAGATTGACATACATGCCGTCTTCAAATTCAAGAGCTGCCCGTTTGATGATTCGGGCCCTGAGGTCATCTGCAAAGTTGGCTTTTTAATCTTCCTCCTTTCTGAGGGTTAGATGCTCAATTCTTTTCTCATATTTTTCTTCCTGAATTACACGGTTGACATAAATGTTAGGAACGTGAATGTCTTCCAGGACAAAGGTCCCCACGTCCACAATTTCTTCCACCTCCACCACAGAGGTTTCCGCAGCTTTGCACACGGGCACATTGAAATTCCTGGTGCTTTTCCTGAAGATGACGTTTCCTGCGCGGTCGGCCTTCCACCCTTTCACCAAAGCAAAATCGGCGGTGATGGCCTGCTCCAGAAGGTAGTGGTGCCCCTGAAACTCCCTCACCTCTCGGGGCTGGCTCATGATGGCGATGTGGCCGTCAGGTGCATACCTGATGGGGGCACCTCCCTCCTGCACCAGGGTCCCGTAGGCCGTGGGCTGTAGATGGCAGGTACCCTGGCACCCCCAGCGCAGATGCGCTCAGCCAGGGTGCCCTGGGGGGTCAGCTCCAGCTCACCCGCCAGGTACTGGCTCTCGCACAGTGCGTTACCCTCCACCTAGGAGCAGATGATGTGGGTGATCTGCTTGGTTTCCAGTAACAGGCCCAGCCCGAAGTCGTCCACACCCACGTTGCTGCTGACCACGGTCAAGTTTTTGACATGCGTCCAGAGCAGGGCCTTTATCAGGTTCTCTTGAATCCCACAGAGCCCGAAGCCGCCAATCATGATCTTGGCCCTGTCCCTGATGTCTTTGACGGCCTCCATGGGATCCGTGTAGAATTTGGCGCGGGCGCGAGCGCTGGTGGCCAAGTCGCGCACGCTGCCCTCAGCCTCTGCCAGCTCGGGGACACCACGCCCAAGCACCAGCACGAGCGTCCGGAGGGCTGCCATCGTGCACACCTGATCTGGCCCAGACCAGCGGGGGACAGGCCAATGCCTCTGCTGCCACCACTGCGTCACAGAGCAGGGAGGGTGCGCGGGGATGTGACGCTCAGTCAGGGTAGCCCCTGCGCCTCAGGCCCCTTCCCACTCTGAGGAGCTCCAGACCCTGCGTCTCCATGGGTCCCTCCCCGCTCCGGACCGCGTCCCCATGGACCCCTCCTCTCTCCAAGGGGCTCTGGACCCTGTGTCCCCATGCGGAGGCAGCTGCATTGCTGAGAAGACGCAACCATTGGTCCTCAGGATTGGCGGGAAGGCCTCCCCACCTGTGTCCAGCCCAAAGCCCCGGGGGCTAGGGAGGTCTACTGCATGGCCCCTTCTGGGCAGACCTCTTCCTGTTGAAGACACCCCCAGCTCTGGGCGGTTCCCTTCCTTCTCCGTTGCAACCCCCTTCCTGGGTGACCTGCTCCAGTCTCCTGGCTCTCAGGCAGCACTCCCCACACATGCGCCCCCCGTCCTGGATGACGTGTCATCTGGACGGCTACCAGGGCTCCTTATGACGTCACCACCAAAAAGGGGCTCTGGGTTTGCTACCTCAGACCTGCCCCTCCTCCTCTTTGACTCAGGAAAACGTCTATTAAAAACGGCCCCTGACTCAATGTTTTCCATGATTCCTCCACTACCCACTTTTCTCCATTTCTGCTGCCACCA